GTAGCCAATATTTATTTTTACTACATACTTACGTTCTTAGTTAGATAATAGGCAATCCTGTGGGTGAACATTAATAGGACAAGTCAAACACGTGAATATTAAATTATATGAAAAAAAAAATTTAAGGTGCGCAACACAAGACGGTAAATTTAAAAAGTGTAATTAGAAGAGTTTGAAGTCATGGCCTTTTGACCTATCACATTAGATTATCATTTTCAACTGAGAAAATTGATGAATTCATCCTTTGAGAATGCATTGTTCTAAGATTGTTACCTTTTATTCTTGATTAATAATACCATGTTGACTAATATAGTTCTTTGATTAAAGGATATTTGTCAAGTATAAGCAGTAAAAATTTAAAAGCTGTGTATTTTAGGGAATACTTGTCTCTTTTTTCCTTTTTTAACGTGAGCGTTTTTAGGAGGTCAGCAACACTAGTTTTAATGTTAGTTCTAATATTAAGCATGGTTGTAATTGCTAAGCTGTTTAGCAAACTTTGAATGAGGATTGAGGAACTATGGGCATCCCTAGATTATATTCCAATTGTTGACTTCTCGGTTCTCAATAACTTCTACTTATGCTGTTGAATTTGAGAAGGGAAATCACAAAAGTGGAGGATTTTCTTTTCTTAATTTTTTCACACATTTCTTTTGTTTCTGAAATCCTTGTGTAAGGGGAAAAGGATTATATGTTTGTACTTTGTGTGAGTTTTTTTTTTCCTCTCTATTTAACGTCATTTTTGAAATCTATTAGAACTACAAGTGTCATTTTTAAAATCTATTAGAACCACAAGTGAAAATAAAAGAGACTATTCCATACACGTTGATCACACAACATCACAATTACAAAGAACTAAGGCATTGTTTATTTCACCGATTCGAGTTTTTAGTTCTAGATTTCTACAGTAAAAATCTCTCAAAAAACGTCACATCTAACTTTTTCTATTATAGTGAAAAGTTCTCACAAAATGTCACATCTCAGCTCGAATTGAAAACTCGAATCCGCGAAATAAACGAGGCCTAAGTATAATAGAAAGAATTGATCCTCTTGACAAATAAAAGAGAGAGCCTTAGAGCGATCGTTTCTTGCCGCTATGCCATTCCCTAACAAATGGAGGAGAGAGCCATAAAGCGACCGTCACTTTCCGCTATGCAATTGCCAAAGCCACTTCATAGTTGTACCTTATATATATGATATAGCATTTAAACTGATTATGAATCTTAATAAAATGAACCCTAAACAATTACAGTCGGAAGGAAATGGGTAAATCCGCAAGCCTTTTGTTACCATAACACGGTGCTCAATATGGTCATGAAAAGAAATGGATAAACAGGTGTTGTGTGGGAAAATGTGAAGGACACATGGAAGAACGATAATATGACACGTAGCCTTAACTCCTCCCCGCAAAACAACAACCCTCGACGCCTGGGGTTCCTTCCGGTTCCGTTATAGAGAACCCAAGTGAAGGGTCCAATTTGGGGCGTCGATTCCTCCTGGTGTCGACAGTTCGTACCGTTGACCTTAGGACATAGAAATCCCTCGACGGTGGAACCAACAACCAAGAAGGACAGTTGGGTTAAGCAACACTGGCGACGAGGGAAATGCTCTTTGAGGAAAGGTCTGACGTGGCAAGTTGCGTACAAAAGTGGGGATGACTGCAAGGCAGGCATTTATTGCGAACCCTTAAACCGCCTCACAGGGGACAGAAAAGGGTTACAGGAGCGCACAGAGCCGTAATAGAAGACTAATTGGCTGAGTGAACAGTGCTCCAAGTGATTAGTGGGCTACGACTGGGCCTAAAAAGAGAGAGCACTTGAGTGCTTCTACCTATGAAGGAAAGCAACCCAGCGAAGGAAGCTCCCAGTATAAAAAGGGCGATACCCCATACAGAAAAGGGGTGAAGATCCAAGAGAACACAACACAATTATTGTAAATTGTAATCCTCTCAAAAGAAATATACAACAACAGTGGATGTAGCTCTGATTTTATAGAGTGAACCACTATAAAATCACTTGTGTTATTAGTTTGCGCATGTCGTCTTTTATTTAAACACAACACGTCCCACCAATAAATTCACGCACAATTTCATCACTAAGGCCGGTAATTCAACAGGAAACCCGGAGGTAACCAAGCCTGTTTTTGTTGACGAGAAATCACCGTCAACAACAGGCAATGATCTTTTGTTACCATTATCCAGTTTCTGGTCCTTCTTCTCAAATAGAAGATGAGAAACTAAAGAGCTAGATATGATAAAACCTCAATTAATTGAACTGATTGAGAACTTTAATTTCAGTCACTATCTACTCAAATTACCAACACCACATACAAGGTTTGGGAATGGACTTGAAGACTACTGGCCAGATATTATCAAGGGCTTTAGGGTAGGTACAAATGGCAGTAGAAGACAGTGTTATTCCCACTGGCAGTAAAAATTAAGGAATTAATATGTGTCTTATCACGAAAAAAAAAAAAAAAAAAAAAAAAAAAAAAAAAAATATTGTGATTATCTTTAGTTTGTGAATTTGTTCATGAAAATTGAAAAGGGAAGTTGAATGTGACAATATGGTGCTCCAAGAAAGTGACCTCCACAGGTAAAGTTTGCTTCAAGAAATTTGAGCTCCGCGAAACAAACATTGAATAATGGGGGGCAAACATTATGTGCGAGTGAAATAAGTAATTACATATATAATATCACGTAATTAGAGGGTTTTTTGGTTGACAAATATGCACGTGACAGATTATTTAAGGTTTTTTTTTGTACAGACACCCCTTCAACTTTTTGAAGTTGGCAATTTAGTCTGTATTTTTTTCTTCAAAATTGACCGTTTCAACTTCAAAATTTTTACAATTAAAGACCAATCGAAAACATCATATGTTTTTTTGACGATTTTGATATCGTGATGTGAACGTGAGCGTTTTTTTAAGACAATGAAAGTCATTTCTCACCCTTGTATTATCTTTTGATGGTAATTGACCTTTAAAAATTAAGAGTTATTTATTATAGTTGATTGTGTTCAGATATATTCAACGACTCTGACGTCAATATAACCGAGTAAATAGGGTGTGAAATTATCTTTTGTGTCCAATAGACGCTAATATGCAAATCAAGTGATCAAAATTGTCAAAAAAAAACATAAGCCGTTTTTTTATTGGTTTTTAATTACAAAGATTTTGAAGTTGAAAGGGTTGATTGCTAAGGGGGGAAAAAAAGAAATATGGTTTAAATTGCCAAATTTAAAAAATTGAAGCGGTGTCCGTATAAAAAAGCTTATTATTTAATTGTCAATGAAGACTGATTGGTGATTATGTACTTGGTGTCCTATTCTCAAATGACTCGAGAGCACCTCTAACTTTATTTCCCTCCTAGAAGTATATATGATATTATATATTGAGCAATTATTTAAGGGATGGTTATAAAAACTTCCCTCTATTTTTCATTTTTTCTACAAACAACTTTTTGTTTTGGGAAATTACAATTCCACACCGAATAATTTCTTTTTTCTTGCAAATCTCTCCCCTGTCAACAGTCTATTGGGGAAAATCAAACAAAATGCTAGATTTACCCTTTTAAACCTTTGGAGATGCTAGACTTATACCTGTATCCAAACAACTAATATGAAAACATTTGTAAAAGGTTAGGCTTCCTCCCGCTTAACATCTTTCAGAGTTTGTTTGGTACATATACTCAAAACTCAAATCATCATTATTCTGTCAGAATTTTTTCTTCTCATAAAGAATTTGAATAAAAAAATTCCCGTTAATAGTTCTCTTACAAAAAATTTGAATCAAAATCCAAATTATGATTTAAATACACCTCCCATAAGGTGTCTTAATTAATATTTCGGGATCAAGGTGTTACAAGCTTAAATTTTGAATCTAATCAGTGATAAGAGTGTAATTTGAAAAGTAAATCAACTTATATGGTATATGATTGCAATTTTAAGAGCAAGAGGTTATTTGTAAAAGACCTCTAAAACAGAAGGGAGTTTTTGTAACTAACCCTTATTTACAAATCACATTTCAAAAATTGAAATTCTCAACTTAATAAATTCCTATTTTCTCATAAAAGAAAATGCCAAAACAAATGGAACGCATACTTAATGAGCTTTAAGAAAAAATGGAGAATGCTGAAGTTGTATATTTCCTTAATTATTAAGCATTATTCACCTACCTACCTACCTACTTACAAACAAACAAACAAACATACATACATACATATGTGTCTATATATATATATATATATATATATTATTCAAGTTTTTGAATCCTTTCTAAAATCATCTGGTAAAATTTATACATCTGGTCTAACTAAGCTACCAACCTGCCAAGAAAACTGAGATTTTCATCTTTGTTTGCTCTATAATATCAGGAGGTTCAAAATCGGCTGGCATGTTCACATCTTGATGGTGAATTTCTAAGAATAATGCTAGAGATACCAACCCAATTTCCAAATTTTCCAATGCCAAAAGATGTGGTAAATGAGTAATGGAACACATTTTCTATTCAATAGATAAATAAAAAATCACCAATCCACCAAATAGAAACTGATAATTCAGTAAGTTGGAATTAAATTTGGTAAAAACCTGGTTTTGCAGCCTTATACAACGTTGGAGCTTGTAAGACCAAACACATAATTCTTGCGCAGAGGAATTGACCAGAATCATGACTTTCCGTTGATACAGTCTGGTGTAGCTTAAAACAAGTAGCCAAATTGCAACAGGAATTATCTTTTACAATTGTTTTTTTGCAGCAATCAGTAGCCAAAATGCGGCATTGCTGAAGTTTAAAGACCTTGCTAAGGCATGTCACATTTAGAGAGAGAGAGAGAGAGAGAGAGAGAGAGATAGCACTAAGATTCCAACTGGAAATATGATAGATGTTACACCAAGGGCATAACTGAGTTGTATTTTTATTTCTAACACGTAACGAAAATTAAAAAAAAAATTAAAAAAAAAATTAAAATTTAAGTGCTGATACAAACAGGTATCAAAAACTTGGTGTCCAGCTTACAGATGGTAAAAAGTTCTCTCAAACAGTAAGGTATTTATACTTATAAACGATTATGTACCTAAAAATCTGGGAAATAACGAAAGGACACAAAATCATACCTAATACAGTATTGACAAAACACACTCTCCTTTGCTGTACTGCTTAATGAACATGTATGCAAATTTTACACTCTATACATTGTATATAATTCTTTTCTCAGGAAAAAAAAAATTGCCTATTTTTTCATACCATTTACCATGGAGAACAATCAACGAGCTGGAAGACTTTATCATGGCAATTGAATTGCTTGATCATAACCAGAAGTACAGCATTGCCTGCCAAATGAAATTGTTAGTGCCTACTTTTGATGCAGAACAAGACTAGGATACTAGGAATGAATTTGTGTATTTTCCTATTAGGATATGCTTTATCTTCGGTATTTAATTTTAGTTTAGCGTTATGTTTATCTCTTGGGATTATTAAGAATTACTTAAGTTTTTATTTTGTTGCCTTACTCTATAAATACCTCAGTGATTGTAATTTGATATCAGAGTTGAGATTGATGAATGAAAATTGAGATTAAATTTTTTCCTCGTCTTAATTTCTTGTTATTGGTTTCCATCATCTTCAGTTCTTGTTCTCTCTAGAATCTTCAGTTTTCTCTCCTTGGTTCTATTTCTATCTCACTAGCGGTTCTACTTCTCTATCATGGTTCTATTATTCTCTCTATATTCTTTCTCTTCTGCCTTGGTCTTGCATCTGTTTAACCAATTCAAAACATAAATACTAAAAATAAAAGATAAACCTAATAGCTAATATACATTTCAAATTTCTAATATCCTGATCTTGCTTACATCAACTTAACAAGGTCAATATAGTTTACCTAAAGAAAACGAAACTTCAACAAGAATTAGCAAGCTTTGTATCCCATGCCCATTGAAGATTGAAGTTTAAAGCAAAAATAGTTCACACAAAAACAAAAAGGAGAGTAAAGCAAGATAGGGCATACCTCTCTTAGCGGATCAAGGCATTGGTCATCGTGCACTTTTGTTTTCCTTTTTCTCCAACTGAAAAGTTCAGCTTGTATGTCGTTAAGTTGTTCATGTATCTCCCTCAACAACTTCTTCTCCTCTTCCCCAGCATAAGTAATTTCTCGACTTATACCATCTCTCTCTCCCTCAAGCTGCTCGACCCTTCGACGCAACTGCTGAAACTGAGCTTGAGATTCAGCAACACTGGTTGGTGGATGAACTAGAGCCAAATTGCGATGACTACTCATTTCATCTCTCGGTTTAGACAAGTTGCTCAACATTTTCTTTGCACTGTCTGTTTCATCTTTAAAACATGATTTACTAGTTTCCTGAGGTGCCAAATCCAGGTCCCCAAGCTTGGTCTCAACTCCATCAATCGCTTCATTCTGTCTTTTCGTTTGTTTCTCACAAGTTTTACGCTTCTCTCTAAGTTTTGGAACTTCGAAAATATCTTGGATACTTGAAGAACAAGAACTGCTAAGATTTTCCTCTCTTTCTAGCAAATTATCATCATGTATTACTTCATTCAAGGCAGTGACAACTTTCAATGTTGTTGAGTCAGAGGATTTGTTGATGGTTACTGGTGAAGGCAATGGACAAGGCCTAGATTCATTCTGCTTATCTCTAGCGGAATCTTTAGAGTGAGAGATTTCTTTTACTTGTTCATCTAACATTCTAATCTGCTGCCAGTAAGAATCAAAGTTTCCACCAGAACCATGTCCTTGTTTCTTCTCTAACTCCAAGTTCTGAATACTAATTTCCTGGTCTGCTTTTTTCTCCACTATCTTCTGAACTAAATCCGGCAAGTTGATTGTGGATTTTTGCCTTTCTATGGGGCTCTTCTTCTGGTGAGAATCCTTGAGTGGAAGAGGAGGTAAAGAGCTGAATCTTTTAACATTACCTCCACCACCACAAGTTTCTCCTTTAACCAGATCACTTCCTTGGAAAATTAGAGTCTCCGGAAATCTGTTTTCGCCTCCAACCACATCATTGCACCCCAAGCTTAAAAGCTTGCACTTATAAGCCTGAACTTGGAATTCAAGAGCAGCAATTTCCATCTCCTTCTGGTAAATAAGATCTTCAAAGATTGCCAGAGACTCCTCGGCATGGTACATCTTTTCCTCTGCCAATCTCTTGTACTGGCTTGCTTCCATCTTCACTGCAGCCTTTTCGCCTTGCAAACGCAGAATCATGGAGAGAGCCTCGCTAGCCGCGGTAGCCGACGCTTCCCTTTCCTGCTCCAACTCGACGTAAAGGGTTTGAAGAAGCTGTTGTTGTGCTTCAAGGGTTTCCTTCAAAGTTGTTATGTCAGTTTCAGACATCCCAGATAAAGTTTCATCTTCAGCCATACATATATTTCTTTGGTGAAACAATCACTTTAATTCTGGTCACCCAAAAAAAAACCAAAAAAAACAAAAAAACCAAAAAAAAAACCATATCAGCAACAACTTATTAAAAATCATATGACCCATTTTAACATTCAAATCTTCGATCTTCAAAAGAGAAAATGAGTCCCTTTTAAATTCTGGAACTTTGTCACCATCAGTGCAAACACAGAGAATTGAAGAAGAGCACAACAAGCAGAGTATAGAACACTCATAAATAAATTCCTACGAAATCTTCAAATTCCAACACATTAGCTTCAGAAAGTTAATCTTGAACAATGAGTTAAATATATAAATGAGGTATCTTTAAAATTAAAATTAAAATTAAAAAAAAAAAACCTGAAATTCTTCAACTGTATGAAGCCAGAAAAGGGAGATCATTTTACCTGAAATTGCTATAGCCCGTTGAAACGAGAGACCCAGTTGAGAAAAATCCACTGTGAATACAAATTAACCGTGACTTATGAGAAATACTTCCAAATTTTGAAAGCAAAAAAAAAAAAAATAATAATAATAATAATAATAATAAAAGAAAACTTCTTTGTTCCGAGAATGAGAGAAGAACCCAGATAGGAATAAATGTTTGTGGTCTTGGAAACCAACCAAAGCTAAGAAGGAAATAAGTTTAAAATAAAATTGGGCTATAATAAATAAGGAAAAATGGTAAAATAAAGAAGGCCCATAAATACAGTTGAACTGTACCTTCAAGATTTGAGATTACTTACCCAAAGAGCATACGTAGAATCAAAAACAGCTACATTGAATGTACGCACAAACAAACAACGTTTTGATGTTTTTTTTTTTTTTTTTTTTTTTTTTTTTTTTTGGCAAAAAAAAAAAAATTTTTTTTTTTTTTTTTTTTTTTTTTTTTTTTTTTTTTTATGAGCACAAACAAACAAGGTAGCCCTTTTTCGCTGTAAGAGAGTTTTGGCTTTGCCTTCCTTACAAAGCAGAGTTGGTGTGGAAGTATTATTATTTTCCAAAACGAGAAGGAAAAAAAAAAAAAAAAAAAAAAAAAAAAAAAAAAAAAAAAAGAAACAAAGAAAAACGAGAGAGAAATGAGGAAAAAGTTGGAAAAATATCTGAAACAATATCGCCTCCAAGTCTACATTAGCAAGGAACTGTGCACTTTTTTTTTTCAATTAATTAAAGCGCGAGATGATTCTCACGAAAAAAGAAGGAAAAAAAAAAAGAGAAAAATGATAGGGCCAAGGAAAAGACAAGCTCCTCGTTTTTCCTATTTCCTAGCTGTTACGTCTTGCCTTGTGATATAAAAAAACCACCTTGACTATAGTAATTGCTCTCTTACAGTTGATCCATAAAGTTATAATATGACATGCATTTTTATTCTATTAATAAGAATTGTTATTTTTAATTATTAGATTAATTTTTTAATGATTAAATTTATATATGTATATTATAAATTTATAAATAGTGACTCAAAATTATTCTTATTACATATCAAATCGTCCTAAAATTTAATCTAACAGTTTAAACACAATTCTTATATACCCCTAAAAATTATTTATATTCCTAAAAAGTTATATATTGTAAATCAACACGCTTAACACCATTAAGTTTGAATATTAATCCTCTTAAATGGTGATATAGGTTCAGGATTTCATCCCAATGGTTAGTAGATTATTCATATTGTGTTTTAAATGAATCTAATCAATTATATTTTATCATGTTATAAAATTCACTTAAACATGAAATTATGAGAAAAATATATTAAAATTATATTGATGTGTTATGACATAGCTAATTAGACATCATTATAAAAATTAAAATTAGACAATTGATTTCAATTTAAATTACTCTTAAAAAGAAAAAGAGTAGAGATTATGAACTTATAAAAAGTAAGGTCTCGTTCACTTCGCAGATTTGAGTTTTCAATTCGAGTTAAGATGTGACATTTTCTGAGAGCTTTTCACTGTAGCAGAAAAAGTTAGATGTGACATTTTCTGAGAGTTTTTTACTGTAGAAACTTAAAACTGAAAACTCGAATCGGTGAAATGAACAAAGCGTGAGATAACAACATGTTTATTTTATGTAATAATGTTTTTTTAAAAGGTGTGGAACCAAAAATTCATTTATCCTAAATTACTTTTACATCTTTTCTAAATTATTTTTATATGGAAATAAATACTTCGTTAAACATGAAGGGGTTGTTTAGTTAGGAGATTCGTATCCCGATTTGAATCATGATTCATAATTTATTACAGTATTTTTTCTCATAAAAAATACATATAAATTAAAAATAATTTTAATTTTATAATTATAATCTATCAATTGACGCTGAAATTTATATGTTACATATAGAGGACTGATTAAGACAAGCCTATATATCTGAAACATTTATAAGGCCCCGTTCACTTTGCTGATTCGAGTTTAGAATTCGAGTTGAGATGTGACTTTATGTGAGAGCTTTTTACTGTAACAAAAAAGTTAAATGTGATTATTTGTGAGAGCTTTTTACTGTAAAAAAACTTAAATTTTAAACTCAAATCAGCGAAGTGAACGGAGCCTTAGAAAAACATTATTCTAATTATTATCGTGAAGACTCGAGACCCGAAAACTCAATTTTAGTCATCATTAAAACTCGTTTTCATCATTTGGACTTTGAGTGATTGTAGTGTGGGGCCAGCTCTTGCTTTTTCCCCCGCAACGGTGGCATCCAAGGGACCTCTTAAATTTTTAAAAGGTCGTTAATGGCGATTCCAACGGCTACAACACGGGCCCACCAGTGTGCGATGCCAATCCAGCTTCGCCGACCATATGAGATGTTCTTTTCTATTTTTTTATTGTAGGGTCAACCTTGTTATTTTATTTTATTTTATTTTTTTCCTTTTTATCTATTCATTCAATTTTTTATTTTGGTTATTTTTCCTTAAACAATATTAAATCAATCGTGCAGTTTCGGACATCATAATTTGGGAGGATCCTGTGTCAATCTTATTATGGGTGAGCTTAAAGATACTACTCGCATTGTATGTAAGATTTTGACGGTCTTTTTAGAAAGGAAAAAAAAAAGATTTTGACGGTTTAACGCCACCTAGACATCTCTTTCATTGTCCCATTTAACTCGAATCTCACCTAAAATTGGGATATAAAGGGCAGACAATAACATTTTATCAAGAAAATTAAAGAATACTCGGCAAGGGTATCGATTTTAATTTTAAAAAGATAAGGCCAATAGTCCTAAAATTTATTTGAAATTTGTAATATCAATTGACATGTCACGTGTAAAGGTGTAAATTTAGACTGCTCGGCCGGGTCTGGCCCGGACATGACGGCCCAAAGAGAAATTTCGAACTGGAGAGATGGTCAGCCTAGCTCGGCCCTAAGGCCAAAAAGTTTAAGGCCGGCTTGCCTCGGCCCAAAATTTTATAAAGTATTTTTTTTTTTTAAAAATCTTTAAAAATATGATGTTCAACTCGCCCCGGTCCTAAATGAAAGATGGTCGTCCCAACCCGGTCATAAGTCTAAAAAATTTAGAGCCGGCCGGACTCGGGCCAACATCAACGGGTCTCAGGCCGGCCCGTTTAGCCCGGCTCAAACTTAAAGCTCTAGTCATGTGAATTGTAAATTTTTTATCATACGTGCTTAAAAACTCATCATATCAATTAGTATTATAAAATTTCATTGACTAATGAAAAAATAACAACTCACCTCCATGTGAGTGGGTTTAAAATAAATTAGGATAAAAATTAGAAGTAAAGCTTAGATTCTTTTGGGGTTTTTGATGCTTTTGCTCCATTACTTTGACTGAATTGGCATGTGTGGCTCTTGAACCTTTAATTGTTGAAATCGCCCTCTAAATTTAAAAACTATCACGTTGGATTAAAATAAATTAGGATAAAAATTAGAAGTAAAGCTTAGATTATTTTTGGGGTTTTTGATGCTTTTGCCCTGTTACTTTGACTGAATTGGCATGTGGCTCTTGAATCTTTAATTGTTGAAATCACTCTCTAAATTTAAAAAATATATGATGTTAAAATTTGAAAAGAAATGCCCTAATACACACATAATATGACGTCTTTCAATTGTCATATTAAATTTTAGTTTTTTTATTTCGAACGAGCTTACATAGCGTGCGAAGATTTTTCTGTCCACATTTAACAATATCATCGATTGAGAATATTTTGCAACAATTTATTAAATTTAAGAAGTAATTTGTCAATCAAGAAAACTTTAATTCTTAAAGTAACTTGTAACACTTTGTAACACTCCTCTCTCTCTCTCTCTCTCTCTCTCTCTCTCTCTCTCTATATATATATATATATATATATATTCATCCGGTTATGATTCCAGGGAGTCATTCTTCATTGTCAACGGTATATATGCATATGCATATGTATGTTTTATAGCAATAAGCACGCGTAACATCCTCATTATGTAGGGGACAAGAAACTAGCAAGCCGAGCAGAAGATGCGCATTGCGGAGAGGGAATGGTCATGAAAAATAATGGGTGATTATTGAATGTGCCCAAAAGTATGGTTCTCAATGAATTAGTTAGCAACTTCCAACAAAGCCCATCGTTTTGGTCCGATAGATCTGGTCTATGATCAAGGTCTCGTGCAGATCATTGTACCATGCGTGTGGTTGTGGCGCATATGGGTGCAATCCTAACAGAAAATTTAAAGAGACGACGGGAAAATGGGAAAGAAAATGATATGTTAACTCCAAAAAAAAAAAAAAAAATGAAGAAAATGAGAGTTAAACTGCCACATAGGCTTTATGGAAAGATAAGTTAGAGAAGTAACTGAAGTTAATGCGATTGACCAACAATTTCTGAGGTGACAGCAAAAGAGAAGGACAAGCTACTAGCCAATTTGAGATTGGTCCAGAGTCGTGCTTTTCTTGTTCTGATAATTTCCAGAGTCATATTTATTATTATTATTATTATTATTATTTGAGAAATAAGCAAGGGTTACTTTTAAAAAATTGTTCGACACAAAAACAAATAATAATACTACAGCATTTTTAAAAAAGCAAAAGTGCAATCTCAAAACGAGGCCAAAACCTATAAAAATAAGACCCGTTCAGTTTGTCAATTTGAGTTGAGATATGACTTTATTTGAGAATTTTTTATTATAATAAAAAAGTTAAATGTGACTGTTTATGAAAACTTTTTACTGTAACAAAACTCGAATTTTAAACTCGAATCGGTGAAATAAACGGGACCGTAATTTTTAAAGGCTTAAGCAATCCTAAGAGGCAGCGCTATACATCATGACCGGAGTTGGGTCGGGATTAGACATCCCCTCAGGTCTCACATCCCGACTTATTCCCGATCCGTCGGGATGTGAAACTGGACCCATAAAGAAAATGATTACATGCAGATACACGCTCAGAGGACATGGACGTGGGCGTGAATGTGAATGTCCTACACAAGAAGGCTGAAAAAGAACAGCTCTGGTGATTGTAAGTAAATGTGTAGATGTTATTAACACTCATGCTTGACAAACAGGATCTATGAATTTTGAGTGAACCAAACATATTTTTGGATAGTACCTGAAAGGGAAGACCAATTTGATTGGTTATTTATGAAGTTTTCTGAGAAAGAGGTTGCAGGGGAATTTTAGTGCAAGGAAAAAAGGGCTTTATCAGAATAGGTCAAGTCAGCTGCATTAAAAGAACACGGCTTGAGTTCAATAATATATAACTTTAAGTGCCATAATTTTCCAGCAAAAAGAAAAAAGAAAAAAAGTGTCATAATTGTATCAAGAGTCAAATCAAAGCTCAAAGGATGTCCTAACTTGGGGGCAGAAGTTATCTAAATAAAAAATGTTATGTCAAGAATGTGGAAGTAGCACCAATAATTTGCCATTTGAATTTTAGAACTCTAGCTAATAATTTAACAGCTTACAAGTTAAATCAGATGATTATTTCATTATCCACAAAGAATTAGGAGTACGTAATATGACGATAATCTCAAATAAATTATCAAATACAACTTCTTGAGGAAAACAAAAAAGTTTTCTTGTGTTCTCAAGAAATCTAGCTCTGACATTCGTTAATTCGTTAGTTTATCTCAATCGACAGGAACTTCAACCTCCATCTTCAGATCAGAGTTGTCAAGAATCTGCAAATAACGAAGGCCAGTTTATATTTGTTCTTCTAAATATAAAGATGACTTTTTAATGTAGCAGGTATGTCTTTTTCCACAATTTATTAAAAGTTCAATGCAAGGCATATCTATTTCAAACTTATTTAAGCATGTTGAACAGATGACAGAACTTCGGGAAGAGGTCAGGAAGGAAAAATCAGTAGATGACTACTTCAAGTAATGGGCTGCAAAAACTTTCTAGTTGATAAGATCAGAAGAAAGAAGGTTTGGAACTAATGGATCCCACCCCACAAATTTACTCCATGTGTTTCTAATGAATAACCAGGAAGAGAAATAAGAAAGAAAACATAAAAGATAAAAGATCCAAGAGGAGTGATGCAAATTGTACAAGCAAGAAAATAAAGGTGATGCAAAAGAAGCTTGTATTTAAAAACTACACTTATCCATCGTATGTCAAATAGAACTAAGACTCTTGCAATTGAACAATAATACACATTGTCGTACCTTCGTGAAGTCAGACAAACTTAATGCGGCATCTTTTTTGTACCCCGACTCCTCAAGCACATGAGACAACACTTGCTGTAGAAATACAGAATATTAAAAGGTAAACAGTATTAATTGAATCAAGCATCACAATAAGCAAAGCTGAAGTTGGGTCGCGTAGCCATGTGGATATTAATACTTGAATCAAAATCCATTCAGACATTTACAATACAATGTCTTCCTTAAATAGCCAAAAACCATTCGAGTGTTTAGCAAGAGAAAAACAGATAGAAGTACTCAAACTAGCCTGACATATTTTATATTTCTTGCATTATAATCCACGTTAATGAGCACCAAACAATCCAGCTAACATTTTTTCAGTCTTCAGGCAAGAATTTGATAATAATTTGCAACATCAAAGGTGCAAACAGGTTTGGAAAAAAACTACATTCATAAACCTAATACTAAATGGTCTTGTTAAAAACCCACTTCACACTATTTTCTGAGAAAACCAAATCCTGTATGATAGTAGCCAAACTGTTCTATATAGTTGGAAAACTTAAAGATTGGTAATATTGAAAAAAATTTCATGCACCAAGATCAACTAATCAGAACGTATTTGTTGATGCCGAAATCCGGCACAACACCGCGTGCGGAAGCGCACGGTAACCGGACTCTATTCTCTGCCTCTTCTGGTCAGATCCATAGCATCGTTCGGAATGGATCCCTAGCACTGTTTTGCTCAGCTCCAAGCATTGTTTGGGACGGATCCCTAGCACTATTCTGACCTGCAATGAAAGAGGAGACGGCCTCGAAGTGAGGAAACACAGGTGTGGTGTCTGCCAATGGCACTCTGACGCTCAAGTCAGTGTTCTGGTCAGGAGCAACAAATGAGTGGGCAGCGTTAGGTGTGGAAAAATGTCCGTACCTTTGTGAGCTAATGAGCTTGGTATTTATAGAGTATTTCCGGATCCGTGTAGTGTCCGGATCTGACCCAGAACCCGGGGGTAACCCAGGTGTACAGTTGTACCGGTCATATGACACATGTTGCGCCCCTATAGGTGGAGGAATCCCCCATTGGGATTGCGGAGAGGAGGCCACGTCGCAATCAGTTGGCTGATTGAGAACTTGTCCTGTTCTGCCAGTCGGTGTCGGTTAGTGCTCGGACTAGATGCTTAGCCTGTTTGGGTTCTTCTTCCCTTTTCGGATGAGGTGCTAAGCCTTTTCGGCCTATTGTTTGGACCAAGTGCTCGGCTTGTTCGGATTAGGTGCTGGGCCTGTTCGGACCAAGTGCTTGGCCTGTTCAGATCAGGTGCTCGGCCTGTTCGGACCAAGTGCTCGGCCTATTCGGATCAGGTGCTCGGCCTGTTCGGACCAAGTGCTCGGCCTGTTCGGATCAGGTGCTCAGCCTGTTTGGACCAAGTGCTCAGCCTGTTCAAGTTGTTCTTCTTTGTCGGCCTGCTAAGACCAGGTGCTCGGCCTGTTCGAGCTGTTCTTTCCTGTCGTCCTGCTCGGACCAAGTGCTCAACCTATACGGATCAGGTGCTCGGCATGTTTAGGCTATTCTTCTATGTCGGCCTGCTCGCACCAGGTGCTCGGCCTATTCGGGCCGTTCTTCCTCGTCGGCATGTTCAGACCATGTGCTCGGCCTATTCGGGCTATTCTTCCCCATTGGCCTGCTCTGGCGGGGGGCCTATTCTTCTGGTCATAAAAATGCCCACCCCTCAACATTAGCCCTCTAAGACTAAGGTGGAGAAGGTCATCAACACCTAAGTCTTAAAGTGGTTGGGATATATTCTTAGCTTATCTAGACACTTGGTCTCGCGCCTTGTCGGCACCTGGTCAGACCTGTTTGGCAATTCATTTAACTGATCATAGTAGGATTGGGCCTGTAGGTCTTAATTATGTTTGGCCCATTACCGCCGCACGCTGACCTGGACTTATGGTCCTTTTTGTTCTCTAGCTCGAATTGTCCGATGACGTGGGTTTGCCCTACGGTATGCCAGACGGGTTGGGATCAAAAAATGCCCAAGGCCGATTCTATTCGGCCGAATCCTTCTGCAGACATCATCCGACTAGGATATCTTGCCTCGTAGCTTCTTTGGACCCTGGGGTCTTGTGTTAGGCTGCATAGCCTTGTTGGAAATTTAGCATTGTGCCAGGTCAGTGCTTGGTTTGTTCAGACAAACATGGTCAGACATGGACCTGATCGGCCTGGTCGGACAGCTCAACAGGTAGACCTGGAGTTGGTCAGACAAAAGGCTTGATCGGCATGATCGGACATAAAGCCTGATCGGCGTGGTCGAACGGGTCTATTGGACCTTGTCAGACATGGCCTGTTCGGCCTAGTCAGACAACTCAACAGGTGGACTTGGAGTTTGTGAGACATAAGAACTGATCGGTGTGGTCGAACGAGTCTCTTGGACTTGGTCGGACATGGCCTGTTCGGCCTGGTCGGAGGGCTCGACAAGTGGAACTGGAGCTGGTCGAACATAAGGCCTAATTGGCGTGGTCAGACATAAGGCCTGATCGGCGTGGTCGGACGGGTCTATTGGACCTGGAGCTGCTTGGTCTGGGTACTTAGTCCGCTGACCTTCTGACCTTCTAATCTTGTGATCTTGTGATCTTGTGATCTTTGTCTTTTGGTCTGATCGAGGATCTTCTGATCTTCGTGGAAAGAATTGAAGTGTGCTGGAAAGGCCGGTGCCCTCCTTCTAGCACCAAATGTGATGCCGAAATCCGGCACAACACTGTGTGCAGAAGTGCACGGTAACCGGACTCTGTTCTCTGCCTCTTCTGGTCGGATCCATAACACTGTTCGGAACGGATCCCTAGCATTGTTCTGCTCGGGTCCTAGCACTATTCGGGACAGATCCCTAACACTATTCTGACCTGCAACGAAAGAGGAGACGGCCTCAGAGTGAGGGAACACTACTCTGACACTCAAGTCAGTGTTCTGGTCGGGAGCAACAAATGAGTGGGCAGAGTTAGGTGTGAAAAAATGTCCGTACCTTTGTGAGCTAATAAGCTTGGTATTTATAGAGTATTTCTGGATCCGTGTAGTGTCCGGATCTGACCCAGAACCCAGGGGTGACGCAGGTGTACAGTTGTACCTATCATATGACACATGTCGCGCCCCTATAGGTAGAGGAATCCCCCATTGGGATTGCGGAGAGGAGGCCATGTGGCAGTCAGTTGGCTGATTGGGAACTTGTCATGTTCCGCCAGTCGGTGTCGGTTAGTGCTCGAACCAGGTGCTCGGTCAACTCAGATCACGCGCTTGGCCTGTTCGGATCAAGTGCTCGACCTGTTCAGTCTGTTTAAATCAGGTGCTCGACCTGTTTAGACCAGGTGCTCGGCCTGTTCGGATCAGGTGCTCGAGTTGTTCTTCTCCATCGGCCTATTTGGACCAGATGCTCGGCCTATTCGGACCAGGTGCTCGGCCTATTCGGCCTGTTTGAAGCAAGTGCTCGGCCTGTTCGGACTGTTCTTCCCTGTCGACCTGCTCGGACCAGGTGCTTGGCCTATTCGGCCTGTTCAGACCAGGTGCTCGGCCTGTTCAGACCAGGTGCTCGGCCTGTTCAGACCAAGTGCTCGGCCTATTCGGCCTATTCGAACCAGGTAATCGGCCTGTTTGGGCTGTTCTTCCCCATCAGCCTACTCTGGGGGGCTATTCTTCCGGTCACAAAAATGACCACCCCTCAACAGTATTGGTAGCTTATGATAGTTATCCTAACAGATAAAAGCTTTTTTTTATCAAAGCACTAAGCAGATTTGTGTCGATATTTAAAAGAAAAAGGCTCAAAAGTGTCTTTTTCCTCGCCAGTGACAAAACATTCTAGAATATACTCTAAACGCCCACAAAACGTATATTCAATGTAGCCATTTACATATAACTTCCCTCCCTAAATTTTAAACATACTAAGGTATGCATCGACCATTCTGTCTAGCATCTAAAAGTAATATCTAATTGGCTGAATATGTAATGAGCTTCCATTCTCTATTTGGCATTGAATCACCAATATATATTTCATTGAAATTTAAAGTCTCTTCTATACCATGCCTTCAATAAACAAGAAAAGGAACAATACAGAAACAAATTAGCAAGAAATGCTTCAAAATCTAACCCACCTCCCTCTGTTGCTCAGATATGAACTGCCCCGTCAAATCTCGCAAAATATTCAACACGTCACTGTATGTAACTTTCCCATTACAGTCTGAATCATATACTCTAAAGATAACTAGAAAACAAACAAACACAAAAAACTTAAATTTTAATAAGGAGAGAACTAAACCAAGCTTGAATAAAAGATGAAAAAAATAATAATAAAAACATAAAAGTAAAAAAGAGCAATTACACTCAATCTTTTGCTGCAAACATGCCCGAGGACTAAATGCTGACAAAAATGCCACAAATTCCTTAAAGTTCAATCCATCCAACATCCTCAACAATCTCTGTAAAGTTGAAACAAGCATTTCATAAAATATTATCATTCGAAGAATGAAGACACATTACCCAGAAAAATAATTGTGGTTTAAACCAATACATGCTGAGAAGTGACAATCAGTAATAAACAGATTGTATGTATACACATGCAAGGAAGTATATAAATACACACACACACACACACATAATATATTGTGGAATATCGATTTTTTTTTTAACAATTCCCACAAAAGTATAGATATTCAGTTCTTTCCAATATTCTTCTCCAAATTCCACCAAATAAATAAATATCTAGAAATACATTGAAATTCACATGATTGTTTTTTCATTGTTATATACATGCATAAACGTGGTTGTACATAAATCAAGGTTACAAAAATTTTCCATTTAGATTTATGGAAATTGAGAATCAAGTGTCATAGAAAGTGAAAGGGAGAGAGTTCGGACCTGAGAGAGAGGATTGACGGCGAATTCAGGGACGGACAAGAACTCTTCGGCGGAGATGAAACCTCCGCCCTTGCGATCGAGCTGAAAGAACCTCTGGTACAGCGAAACAATCTCCTGCTGCGAAACTACAAAACCAAAAACGAATCGAAATCGAATCGAAATCAAATCAGAAAGTTTCTTCGCCGATCAGAGCGGAATCGAAACGAAAGAAGATTTCTCTCACAGGCCCCATTGCAGTGCTGCTGGACCTCCTCGATGTCGTACTGAGTGAGCATGGAGGAGGTATTGCCCATGGCGATGGCCGCAGAGGGAAGAAGTCGGAAGCCCTAGATTCACGGAGAAGAAGACGAAGTGTGTGGTTGAAGCTCTGCTGATTTCTTCAATAACCACCTGACGCTGATTTTGCAGAGGTGAAGAGGAAGGTCAGTGCACGGTGGACGAGGTTAGTTGAGGCGCGTGGCCAGTCACGCGCGTAAAACGGCGGTTTTTCTTGCTGTCGTTGGCTTATGAACTGTATGGTGGTTGGTACTTGGTGGCCACGAAACGGCAGCTTTCGAGCTGTCGTTTCCCCCATCAACTTTTTTTTTTTTTTTTTTTTTTAAAGAAGAATTTTCCCTCGTCAACTTTGTTTAAGCAAAATTCAACTTTTCACCATCAAATATCTAAGAGCTCGAATATAATTCTGATTTATTATGAACAGATCATTATGGTAACGAAAACAAATATACTTGTTACAAACACAATTTTAGCAAATTTCTTTTGAAAAAAAAAAAGAAAATCCAAAACTTTTAGTCACTTGTCATAACCTCAATGAAACCAACATTATGAAAATTAATTTTTTTTAATCTTAACCAACAATATAGATAATTATTTAGTTGTCACCCTACATTCATTATGCTAAGTAACGTTTCTTTATGATAAGAACCTTAAAACCAATATCCGACGATCATGTGATAAGAAATCTTATAAAGAGAAAGTTGGCGAGAGAGGCTTTGAGAAAGAAAGAAAGCTTGTTTGGTCCGGCACCACCTCTAAGCGTGTCGTCGGGCTTCCGGGCCTGAAATTCATTCTTCGGACTTCTCTCAGTGTCTGCTTTTCTTGTGATGATGATTGTGTGTGGAGCGGTGCATCCGTTGGGGTGATCTACATTCCCATGTAGTGTTGATTTATAAGGTGGTGAGATTTTCTTGTCGGCGATGTTTTCTTTCTTCTTTGGTGGTTAGAGTGTTCGTGACTAATGTACCCTCTATTTTTTTGTGATCCTATTGCAATCCTCGACCTCCCCCGGGTGTGCTTTCCTTTTGGGGTGGCTCTGCTCAAATCTAGCTTCCATTCCATGATCGATGGCTTGTTATTGGTAGATTTTTTTTATAGTGGTATTAAGAGCATTGATGTTTCCGTCCCATAATGTGTTTTTTTTATTATTTTGTTGTGGTGTTTTTATTTCAGTAATAACGAAGGTGTTGTCGGGCTAAATAACGCCTCGTTCATTTTATCGATTCAGTTTTTTATTTCAATTTTGTTACAGTTAAAAGTTTTCACAAAAAGTCACATCTAACTTTTTCTATTACAATAGAAAATTCTCACATAAAATCTCATCTAAACTCAAATTAAAAATTCAAATTAACGAATTAACTGAACGAGAGCTAAGAGTTTAAGTCCCCCCTCAATTCAACATTTCAAACCAATTTTCTAACTCCACAATTTTGAATTTTTTCCTTTTTTTTCGGCCTGTGCCTCGCAGGTCTGAACACTCTCCTTAGTAATAGACGTAGCCCATGTATATTGATTGGCCGTTGCTGATTGTGGCCTTTAGTAATGACTGTTCCAATTTTTTTTTTTTTTTTTTGAGAAAAACTGTTCCAAACATTTTTAATTGGCATTAGTAACAAAACTTTAAAAAGAAAAAAATTGCTACTCAATTAAAACGACACCTACAATTTTTTTAATTATTATATAGATAATTTTTCTTTAAATTAAATTTTTGGTGATGTATTATTTCTTATGCATTTTTAATTTTTTATTTTTAAAAATTACTACCCAATTAAAAAAACCAGCAAAAAAGTTTTAATTATTATTTATAATTTTTTTTCTTTAATAAATTTTTAGGTGTTGTGTGATTTTTTATGCATTATATTATTATTTTCTCAATTCAAATTGCAGTTCTCGATAGTCATCCAAATGCTAATTCAAATTATATTCTGTGTTCAAATTAAAACTCGATACAGAACCAAATAAATTATCTAAATCTTTATCGCCATTGATGAACCTTCAAACCTGATTTGTTATCTAAAAATACCCCAAAATTATCTTTAGAGGTAAGCCGAGTTTGTCTTATGTGTAGGCCACTAACCCTTGGGAATATCAAGCTCCATACGAGTTTTCCATCAACCAATTAGTTTTTCCTCCCACCATACTTTGACTTCTTTTGTTCTTTTTGTATAGTTCTCTTGATTTTATAGCACCATTGTGGTTGTTTGGAAACAAAATGGACCGTAGAAGTCGTTCGTCTCTAATACAAATGTTTAATGTTAATTGTATATTTGACACTAAAAAGTATGATATGACGTATTATTTTCATTTGTGTTCCAATACATAATGCTATTTGAAATATTAAAATCTACTTTTTTGATAATCAGTAAGTTTTAGAAGTTATAAAAGTAAATTTTTAATTTTAAAGTAAATTGAAAAAATAAAATTGTAATAATTAAATGAAAAAATAACCATATCAACTAATGTATCAAGTGCTAATTTGTCATATACTATACATAGTGAGAAATTTACCACAAAGTATAACATATGACAAATTTAGCACAATAAATTTGCCAGACGCGAAGTTCAAAAAGTATAAAATTTCCGCCTTCCATTTCTCTTCTTATTCTAGTACGAGCGATGTGCTTGTTAGTAATAAATTATTTTTTACTTTTGTATTTTTTTTTTTGTAAATTTAATTCAATATTATAAAGTATTGTTAACCACATTTTCATAATTATTCATTCTAATTGTTTTTTATTATGAGAGTATACAAATAAATATAATAATTGAACTTATAATTTGAGTTGAACTTGAACTTGTATAGACATTTAGCCAACCTATAATCTTTTTCAAATTAATAATAAGATCATAAAATTTATAATAATAGTAAAATGTTATGAAATTATATGTATAAAAAATTAATATTGATTGAACACAAAAAAATTAATATTGATTGAACACAAATCAGCAAATTCGTATGATACATAATGATTGTTGAACAAAAAAGTTGAATAGACAAATGTATGCAATGTGCATATAGTATGGAGTATAGAGACTTACAAGTTAAAATATTTCTGGAAATGAAAATAATGAAAAAACGATTTCTAAAAAAATAAAAATAAAAAGCTTTCAAAATATTTGAGAGGGGGTGTATTTGAGAAAAAATATTTTTAAATATAAATTAAGAAAAAATGAATGTTTTGATGAGAAAAATCTAAAAACACAAGATTTTTCCTAAAAAAAATAATACATGATACCATTAAAAAAATTTTGTAAGGAGAGAAAAAGTGCAAACCTATCATTCTCTCTCTTTTTAAAGGAAAATTAAGAAAATAAAATTTTCAATGAGAAATATCCAATTTTACAATATTTCTATAAAAACGTTGAATTAGGAAAAAAAAAAAAAGTGCAAACGAACTTTCTTAGCTAGGTTTGAGATTAATGCTATATATGTATTTGTTTGTGTATATGCATAGAATATCATATAAAGTGTCGACATATATAGTTTGGCTTAATTGTGATGATCAAAATTAGAATGCAAAATGTGTTTTATGATAATGCAAGTATTTTCCACTTCAAGATACAAAAAGTCAACTATACTCTTAGTTTAAGTACAAAAATGGAATAATTCAAGAAAAATAAGTACAAAAAAGGAATAAGAGGTATCCCTTTTTTATAATACTTATAAATTACACATATCCACTTAAAATATACTGAATTAAAAAAAAAAAAAAGGCATAAACACTAGCGCGATTAAAAATTCTCGGAGAGTTATGCATTGATAAGACCATTCACTATTTTGAAACTCGATTTCTCTCCCACCCATGAGTACATTTTTTTTAGTAACCAAACCGTACATCTTTCGTTAAGGTGGGTGAGTTAAAAGAGGAAGTCGAAGAGCTTGCCCCATCCATGAACTAAACCCATATTCATTTTTCAATTTTTGCAAGTCAAAACGACAATTCTTTTTTAGGACATCTATTCTTATCCTTAGGGATTATTTTTATAAATATCTTATTTCAAAATGTCCTTTAACTTTATAAAACAATTCAAATTATCCCCTAATCTATAAAAAAACGTTTTAAAATACCCCATCGTCTAAGTACGTGTATAATGCTAAGGGTTTTGCTAACTTGGCACTCATTTTAAAATATTAAAACTAAGGTCTCATTTATTTCGCGGATTTGAGTTTTTAATTCGAGTTAAGATGTGACATTTTCTGAGAGTTTTTTATTATAGCAAAAAAAGTTAGATGTGATATTTTCTAAGAGCTTTTAACTGTAGAAACCTAGAACTAAAAACTCGAATCGGTGAAATTAGTGCTGAAACTTTGGACGGGCCGCCCGCGACCGCCCAAAAATACCGAGTTTTTACCCGAGCCCGAACCCGACCCACTCGAAAAATTCGGGCCGCCCACCCGAGCCTGAAAATGCCCTTGAACGGGCCGCGGGCTTATATGTGGTTGCCCAAACCCGGCCGGGCCGCCCGAGCCCGCCCGAATAGTCTGAATTTTTTTTAATATTTTTTAATTTTTCTAATTATTAAGTTAGTTTGTGTTAAAATTATATAAAAATCAAAATCAACATTCAACGGACATTATTAACACAATTGAATAAATTAATCATGTATATTAATGATGTATATTAAATTCGTAATTCATAATTGTCTCGTTAAAAACCTTACCAAGAAAAACTCAATTGGGATAAAAACTTGGCAAGGAAAAAATAGTGAAATTATTTTGTGACGAATTACAAATTTTTCAAACTTACAAAGTTATACAATTACAAATACAATGTCAAAAGTAAATACATATTTAAAATTTACAATTTAATTTGAAGCTGAAGGATTGTCTTCAAAATTAAATGTTAATCGATTAAATTCATATATCCATTTTGACTTGCCGGTGAAATTATATCCTATAGACGTTGATCGGCCCGATCCCAATCCTTAATGCAAACCAAGGCTTCAACAATATCCCTTTGCAATGCATTTCGGCGTTCCTCAAGTATTCTTCATGTAGTACTGAAGGCTTGATCGGATGAGATAGTGGAGACTGTGATCGAAAATATATCCATTCCCAATCGAGTTAGAATTGGCCAAGTTAATGCCCGTGCCCTCCACCATTGAACTAAGTCAAA